GTATCGTATCATACCCGTATCCCATTTGAATTTTTCGGCATGCATGGTTGTCTGTTTGTTTGTCAAGTGCGAGAGCTTGTATCACACATCGAATAATTAGGACTACCAAGGTTTGTTTATATATTTGAAGGGCTACTTCACCCATTTTGCCCTTAATTTAACATTTGTGTTGTAGTTTTGCATCTAGAGGATACAGTCCTGTGCAATGGTAGAAGGTTGGGCTGATGCCAGTTGCTTACTGCTCTTAGCATAGCTACTTTATGCACATACTGCCAAAGATTACGTTACGTCTATACACACTCAGTTCCCTCAATTAATATGCTACACTAGGAAACAACCTTTATGACCATTAGGATGTTTTACAATTAGGCAAGTTTTAGGGAGGATGTTCCTATGTCACATTTACAATTTGCTGATGACACTATCTTTGTCATGTCTGTGAAAACAGAGTGTTTTCAGAATATTTTATCTCTAATTAAAATTTTTGGTAAAATTACTAGTTTGAGAGTGAATATGTCTAAAAGTGGAGTTACATGCATTAATTTGGATGAGTATGTTGTCAAAGATTTTGCTTCAAAGGTAAGTTGTGCTATTAATGAGTGGCCTTTGCTTTACTTAGGATTAGCATTTTTTTTTTTTGGGGGGGGGGGAACTTGAGGACAATGTCTTTCTGGGATCCGGTGGTAGAAATAATGAGCAACAGATTGGATGGTTGGAAGATGACATATTTTACTCTTGAGGAAGGATTACTTTGATAAAAGTTTGTTTCACTAGCACCCCTTTAGACTATTTGTTTCTGTTTAAAATTCATGTAGCAGTGGCTAGGAAGTTAGAAAAGATGATGAGGGATTTTTTTTGATCCGGGATGAGAGATGTTAAGCAGTATCATTTAGTGTTTTAGTAGACAGTTTGTAAGCCTATAGACAAAGGGGGATTGAGACTTAGTAATTTGGTGTCTAAAAACATTTCTTTAGTAGGTAAATAGTTATGGAGGTTCTCTTTAGAATATAACTCCCTTTGACATAAGATAATTGGGAGGAAGTATGGATTTCAGAGGAATGGGTGGGATACTAAATCAGCACATATTGTACTCCATATGAGTCCTTGGAAATTCATTTCACAAGTTACCCTTCCTTTCTCCCTTTGACTTGGTATAAAGTTGGAGATGGTTCTAAAGTTCTATTTTGAGAAGATATATGGGTTGGGGATTCATCTTTTATTAATATTTTTTCACATCTGTATTGTTTGTCCTTGATACATAAGACTCCTATATCTTCTTTTATTGTTGTGGGGACAAATTATCACTCTTGGGACTTCCATTTCTTCAGATGCCTTATTGATATTAAATTAGTTGATTTGACTTCTTTGCTTCATTTTCTCCATGATATCCACCCCCGTCTTTCTTATGATTGAAGAATTTGGACTGATGAAAATTATGGTGTTTTTTTCCAGTAGATCATTTTATTCATCTCTTGTTAGCCCTCAGAACAAAGAGCCATTCTCCTTAGCTAACTTCATTTGGAAAGTTAAGGTCCCCTCGAAATAAAGGCTTTTGTTTGGTCTGTTGTCCTAAATCGGGTTAATACTAATGATTTGTTACAGGTGCAGAGACCTTACAAAGTTTTGAGCCCTTATTTTGTCTTACTTGTTTTAGAAGTGAAGAGTCTAATGCTCATCTTTTCATTGTGTGTTCATTTGCATGGGGTTTGTGGAATACTTTGTTCTAGGTGGCTGGTGAGGCTTGAGTTTGTTCTCCCACTGTAGAAAAGATGTTGCAAGTCAAGTTTTGGGGTTTGGGGAATAAGAAGGAAGTAAAGGTATTATGGAATTGTGCGATCATGACAACTCTTTGGTTTATTTGAATGGAAAGCAATGACAGAATTTTTAATAATCGTCATCTTCCTTCAGAATTGGTATGGGAAAGAATTGTTTACATTGCTTCACTTTTGTCCAAAGCTTCCAGGAGCTTTGGAGGCTTGCCTTTGTCCGAATTGGACAACTCTTGGCTTTCATTGTGAATGTTTCATTGATATGTTTTTTGCGTTTTCTTTTTATTTTAGAGGATATCTTGTCCTCCGTATTGTAATTTGTTTTCTCCTTCTTCCTTTTTATAATAAAATTCTTGATTTATCAAAAAAATAAAATAAAATTGGGCAAATTCATTTTTGCATGAACAGGAGGAGCATAATGGTGTTTATTTTCCAAAGCCTCAAACTGAAAAGTTGTATTTCAGTAAAAGGCTGAAAAACACGAAAGACACTCAATCCAAGGATTTTTTCTTCTTCACTATTCCCTTAGGCTGTGGACTTTAAGCTTTTTACGGCTAGGAGTTGGTTGCTTTGATGATAATGTTCTTTTAAGATGAATTTACTTGTCCAGTTTATGGAGCTTGTGTGAGAACTATAGCTTCCTGGGGATACATAGGAATGCATGAATCTTGAATCAGAATGACTAAGTTTGGCTGTAGATTCTGAGAGGGGTGGGGGTTTCCACCTTTAGGCATGAATCTTGAATCAGAATGAAGAAGTTTGGCTGCAGATTCTAAGAGGGGTGGGCGTGCCTGGGGATACATAGGAATGCATGAATCTTGAATCAGAATGAAGAAGTTTGGCTGCAGATTCTGAGAGGGGTGGGGGTTCCCACCTTTAGGCCTGAGAGCCGTCTGTGCAAACGCAAGAGGAACCAAATGTTAGAAGTGTTCAATTTCTTGGTTCTTCACCCCTTTTTACTGATAGGTTCCTGTTGTATAATCGTAGTCATTGGTTGAAGAATCCACCCTTCCCCTGTATTTATGGTTCTTATTCTTTCCCCTGCTGTTGGACTCCTACTTTAGCATCTTTTCTAACCATGTCTAACTTATATTGGGGAATAATTTTTTTTCTTTAACCTGAAGATCGTTCTTCTTCAGCCTTGTAACTTCTTTGCTGATTGCCATCAAATCTGCTTCCAAGAACTGAATTTAATGGTCTCCTAACTCTTTGAAAGCTATGCTTCTAATCTCCTGTGACTAATTGGATTTAATCCCTAGTGCCAAAACCTATTCCATCTATAAAGCTTAAATTATGATCTTTCACAATTCCTGAGATTCGAATTTTGTTTAGGGATGTCAAATGTGGATATCCATGATGGGGCAGACCAATCCTCAGTCCGCTTCAGCAGAGAAAAGAATCTCCCTAGAGATGTCCATATGTGAGTCGCAGCAGGACAAGTGAAAATAACACAGGAACGACTACACTAAGACAAGTGGATATTATTTCAGTGTGTTTGAATAAACAACCATTATAGTCTACAGAGCCCTTAGGAAGTAAGAGCACAGAAAGCAAAATGGTCAAATAAATCAACTCATTGATTCAGATCTAATGGATTCTTAACTAGATAATACCAAGAAACAGTGAATGATGAGCTGAAATTCAATGTACATACAACAAAATCGCAGAAAGAAATCAATTCATTGCTCGATATCAGATGCTAAGTGGTGATTCCAAGAAAACGTGATGGATCAATGTAGGTGTGCATGTGAGAGAGAGCTTACTGATGCTTTTTGTAATTCAATTTCTCCTTTAATTATTCATAGTGTCAGAAAAGCGTCCTTTTCTTTTTCCTAAACTGTAGCAGCATGACACTGCCAATACAAACCCCCCCTCCTCCCCCCAACCAAAAAAAAAACCAAAAAAAAAAAAGAGAAAAGAAAAAACAGACTCTGTGGATCATGTACTTCCCCAAACCCATCTCAAGAGGGCTAGGCTGGGGCATGTCCCCCTTTCGACTGATACCCTTAAACAAAAATCGGCTTATATCAAAAGCTGAACCAGTATGTAATAACCTGGATGACAAGTGCTTTTGCCTCCTGTATCAGAAGCTCAATTTGAGTGCTAAATATTCTGCATCGTATGTGCTTTTGCTCTATAATTTGCAGGCTTCTTGTGTTAGTTTTCTGGTTTCTTGTGCTCCTGAAATCTTTTGTCTGCAATGCCTATCTGGTGCTTTTGAGATAACGGTAGACGTTAATTAGACCGAATAGTATGTTAAATTTCTAACAACAAGATAATCAGTCATGTGGCAATGGCTTGCGTTATATTAGCTGTATAGGGTTGACTGAATGATTAGGAAAATTGATTTAAGAATTTCATTGCCATTGTGCTTATTTTAATCAATGTGAGCTTTACAGGAGGAAGTAGTCTGGGCTGCCCTGAAAACTCAGGTGCTGCGGGAACTTTATATGATGCTGTTCTCCGAAGCCTTACTGTTAGCAATCACAACAAGTCAACAGATACGGATACACTTCTTATGGAGTTTCCAAATCAGCCACTTATGACAAATGTTTATATTGAAAATGAGGCCAAGGCTGCTGTTCCCTTGCTTTGGAGTCGAGTTCAGGTCAGTGAAATGTGGTGCAGAATCTCTGTTGTAGGAAAAATTCCCTTATGCGATGTACGGAAAATTGCAGATATACATGTGGTCATATCTGGTGAAAAAAGAAATGTTTTCCATTTCAAAAGGTTATTCATGCCTTATTTGCATACTTTCCATACCTTCGTGTAAGTTGCTTTAGTAAATACGTCATTAAAAAAGGCAGCCCAATGAGCAAGGTAGCCTAGTGCACGAGGCTCTCACCACTACGAGGCCTGGAGAGGGCCATATGTAGGTAGTTTTACTTCCCCTCACGTGGAGAGGTTGTTGCTGTGACTCCATCCCATAACGCCGAGTCAACAGTAGACCAATCTCACTGCTATGTCAAGGCCCGCAGTGGCTGGCCTTCAGGTTTATCAATGTTGATGTTTCTGCTGTTGTAAGACCTATATTCAGTTACATTTTTAAGTAGTGTAGTCCTATCATGTATGGGGATCTAATTTAGCCATCTCTTTCGATGCCCCATTTAGGTCCAAGGACAGATTAGTCTCTTGAGTGGTGGAGTTTTGAGCTTTGGGCTAGCACACTATGCCGTATCTGAATTTGAGTTGCTGGCTGAAGAACTTTTAATGAGTGATTCTGTACTCAAGGTACGTGACCTCCCAGTGGTTAATTCCTTCTCCAGTGGAGACCCCTATGTAACGATGTATTTATTCAGTTTTTTTGTTCTGTATTTTTCATGTAGTTTGCTTTCCTTCATTGGTGGTTTGTAGAACTCTGTATATGAAATCCATCTTTTCCATTTTACAAGATGTGATGACCTTATATCATCTACTGCCCCTATAAAAGTGGCAGAATCATTATTTGTTTTATCTCATTCCCATTGAAGTTTTTGCCCTCGCTGCTTATTTATCCATATTAGTGCCATAAATTGTCCATGCAATTGTTTCTTTTTATTTTATTTTTGGTCTGAATAATGACTACCACCCTATAAAAGAATCAAATTAGAAGAAAGGGAGCTTGGAATGGCCTCCCTCTCAATTTCCTATTTTATAGTATTCTAACTTATTTAATTACAAAACATGGTTTCATCCAATCAAATTGTTACAAGCTATATAATCACTCCCACAATTATCTTTTTTTGATAGAAAATGAGAAATATTATTATGGTTAAAAATCGAAGAGTGCATGATAGGACAAGTCCTCGAAATAATTACAAAAAAAAATAACATAAAAAACAAAATTAAGAAGCTAAAAAACATAAAATGAAAGGAAAAAACAAAGAGATGTAACAATACAGTGTTATCAGTCCCATATTTCAGCCGCATATGCATAAATAAGTTGAAATTATGGTCTTAAAGGGGCTTAAAATCTACACATGATTCTCCTGGATCAATAAAAATGGAATGCACTTGGGGTAAATTCTTACATACATAAAATAGCAGATGTGAAGCACCTACAAGTAGGATATATGTAAGGTACACACACACAGTCATTAATTTGCTTATGCATTGTGTTATTTTGACTAGATTTGGAACTTTAGTGTATAGAGATACACACTCATTTGGAATTTTAGTGTATATGTACACACACATATATTTAACATACATACATAGGTACATACGTAAGGGTAATCAGTTACATTTATTCATGTAATACCAATTCTAGAGGCATCTATTTTTCTAACAAAATGTTGGAAGCAGTAGTGGCTCTTGGTAGATCTAGATTTAATTTCACAAGAATCACTATAGAGTGTCAAGGAAATGCAACTCATGCATGCAATGTATACTCAGAAAATAAAATTAAGAAACAAAAGGTCGGACAGCCTCCTCATAACAAACCTCCAATGATATTAAAAACTTCATGTAGTGCTAAAAATAGAGGGATCACCAAAACGAATGTTCAGCTCCAGATTTGACGAGTCTGCATTTCCTAAGCATCTTGTGTAGTGCTCCAGCCACAAGCTCCACCAGAAGAGATGTCATGCCACCCACTCCTCTGGCCACCTCCTCTAGGCACATCCCCTTCCTTCAACAGTTAAAAAAATGTTAACATACTGAAAGCGAGTGAAGTGACCCATCTAAATAGGCTTTTGCTGTCAAATCACTGATTATACCCCTACATATATGGTTACCAGATACCCACAAAGAAGCACATTACAGTACTTGTATGCTCCTAGCCAGAATCTTATTAAAAAACATCTAAAATCTAGGAAATGGTTTGGCTCTGGGTTATTAAGATGCAAAAAATTTTTATGGCGAAAGGTTTGTAAATGTTTTGCAAGTGAGGGAGTAAATTTATAATGACTAGAATATCATGGGATTGTCTGAAGAGTTTTTTTTTTGAAAATAATGTAAATTTAAGTATTTTCAGTAACTTTTAGTTGTTTTTAATAGGAGCCCGACCTACACTGAATAATAAATAAGGGCAGGCATGGCAGTTGGTATTTGCCCCAGTTCACCCAGGGATGGGTGGGGTTGCTTGGTATTTATGGAAATTGTTTAAGATGGCAGGACTTTCTTGGGTGGCCCCAAGTTCCCTTTCAACTTTGTTATGTGTGGACTTTGGTGGCAAGAAAGAGTGGTGGAGTTATTCTTTGGATTTGTGCAATGTTTACAATTATTTGGGTGATTTAATTGGAAAGAAATTATTTGCAAGAATTTTTGAAGAGAAATGCAAAGTGCTTGAAGGATTATGGAATCATATCTACTTCTTAGCATCATTTTGGGCTTCGTTATCGAAGGAGTTTGATAATTTTTTTTTTTTTAGAATTTTGGGGAGCTGGACAGTTGTTATGGATGTTAATTGTCCATGTGCTATTTTGTTCTAATTGAAGAGTAAGAACCAATAGATGAAATATTAGGGATGAAATATATGAACTGGTTTCACTCTCACTATGTTGCATCAAGAGAGTTTGGCGTTAGTTTACATTTCTCTGATAGAATCACTCATTCAGACCTGTATCTTCTATTATCTCGCATTCAGTGTTCTGCCAAAATATTTTCTCATCAGCTTGATGTTTATTGTTTAAATTTTCAAGCTTTGTTCCTTCTATTTCTAATGGCTTTCTTGAGTAGCGCTGTGTTGAACACAACTCAATTAGATCTAGTGAAACAATAAACCATCTGGTAAGTATTATGACTGTAGGTGCATCTCATACAATTACTACATTATATTTTTGGCTTGGTTGCTTTTTGAGATATAATGCTTCATATTTGTGGACACTCTCGCCCTTTTCTAAACTTCAAAATTTGCTAAGTGTGTGCTTGTCTGGCTGTATTCGGTGATTTCAGGTTTATGGGGCTCTTCGTATGTCTGTTAAAATGGTTTTGATGTGGAATTCAAAAATGCTTATAGATGGTGGTGGAGATCAAAATGTTGAGACATCCTTGCTTGAGGCTAGTAATCTTATTGTGCTGAAGGTGGTCCAATGGCGATGCATTTACCATGTAGTATGTCACTCATGAGGCATTGATGTATTACGTCTCAACTTTTATTTTATTTTTTTACACAGGAGTCATCTATCATCAATTCTAATGCAAACCTGGGAGTTCATGGACAAGGATTTTTTAGTTTATCAGGACCAGGAGATCGTGTTGAAGCTCAACGTCTGTTTCTGTCACTCTTTTATAGTCTCCATGTAAGCTGATAAATTTCTTACCTTTTATTCTTCTGGTTTATACTTCTCACTTATTTCTTGTATGAACCATTTATACTACGTATGACATGACTTTTCAGAACTGAGAAGCACACCTGATCACATTTTCCTCTTAAATATGCATTTTTACTCTTTCTGAACTTTGAAATCTGAATGTCGCCTTAGTCTGCAGTTAAAAAGTGCTGTTGAGAGAATCTGAATATTAACAGAGACTTCTCATGTTCTTCTCTAAGCATGACACGTGTTTCATTTCTATCCTCTATTTTAGTTAGATTGTGAAGTTTTAGGTTTTGGAGAAGGAGAAATAAAACTTGGAGAGGAGAATAAGAGAAAGAGAGAGAAGGTTCTGTGAAGGGTGCTTGAACTTCAAAGATACACCCAATTACTGGCGGTCAAGAACTTAAGATGTAATAATAATCTTGTGTAGTCCGAGGTCGACCCACAAGGAATGAATAACTTGAATAGCATAAGAAGGAAGAATATGTTTCTTTTGTAAAATTTAGGATGTTTAGAAAGCAATTGCAAGAATAAATTTAAGGTAAGCAATAATTTGAAAACCACTCTTTAGTTTCAGGATCTAGATTCGCTCATATTTATCGGATATTATATTTATGCAATATTGATAACTCGGTTAATTTACAATGTCACTATAGTTAACCGGAAAATATTTCTTTGAACACAATTAATTTGATGATCGAAAATATAACTTTGAAGATTAGTGTAAATAGGGAATCATAAGCATTGTTTATACCAAGAACTCAATCTTGTTAATAAACACTCAAACAATTGTATAAAATATAAAAAATTTACTAAAATCTTTCAATCAATTGGCTAAAAGGAAGAGTTAACATTAAAACCAAAATATAAATTGCATAAATAATCACAGATCCATCAACCTTAACTAAATAGTATAAAAAAATTACTCATAATTCATGACTAAATCTCTAAGAATTATGATAAAAAGAAAAATGGAAAAATATGATAAAGGGCTGCTAAAAAAGGATCCCTCTTTCAACGATAATAGGTATATTTATACTAGGGCATTAGAGCACTACTTAATACCTAAAAGAACCTTTGGTCTACAAGACCTTGCAAGCTGAGGAAAGATGTGCGTCGTCTAGGCAATACAAACTTTCTGTCAAAAACATTTCTCTGGCATCCATACAACAAAGTTGCATTTGGACAGTACTTGTTCTTTGTCAAAATTCTCCTGGCACATCTGGACGGACAATCTGTGCCCAGACGCAAGTGTTTTGCTGTGCAACTTTGTCTGTCTCATATCTTTCTCTTATTCTCCATGGGTTGCGTTCGGATGGGAATCTTGTATCCCGATGCAAGTGATTCTTTGTCCATGATCATTTTTCTTCATCTATTCAATAGTTCTAATCCGAATCTTTCCTCCAATGTTTGTCTACTTCACATAGCTTGAATGATCATCTAATTTTGTCCAAATACCTACAAAAATAGACAAACACATAGAATCAACATCAAACTAGAAAACCAAATAATTTACCTCATATATTTCAAAAGGCAATGTACTTAACCAATACTCAAAAATAATAAAATGACACTTTTGTTGGTTAATCAAAGGGTAGTGTCTTAGGTCATACAACTAATCCCCACCTACTTTTAAATATCAAATTCTAAAATGTCCTCATGATAAAATAAAGCATATAATATATTCGTGATGCCCAAATTGTAAACAAGGGGATGGAAAATCTTGTACTAACCCTTTAGTGAAAACATCGACCAATTGGTTTTTGTATTTCACAAGTGGCATGCAAATCAAACCCTTGTTTAACTTTTATATGATTAAGTCCAACTTAATCTCAATATGCTTGGTTCAGTCTTGTTGAATTGGAGTATGGGTAAAGTTAATAATGGCCTTATTATTACTTATTCATATTATAGGCTCGTTGGCCTATAATCATGAATTCCTTGCTCTCATGGGTCCACATTGGCTGAATCCTAGTAAGATTTGGAGCCAAATATGCTCATAAATTCTATGAGTCATTGTTCTATATTCAGTCTCTACACTTGACCTAGTTACCACTCTTTGCTTCTTGCTTCGCCAAGTGACAATGTTCCGTTCTATCAGGGTGTAATTGCCCAATGTAGATTGTTTGTCATCCCCCAAAATGCCCAATCTTCATCTATAATGCTTCTAACCTCGAATGACTGTGATTGGAGAATAAATTTTTTTTCCTAAGATTGACTTGAGATATCTCAAAATACAATAAACAACTTCAACACGAAGAGTTTAAGGATCATGCATGAACTAACTTCATCTACATTATAAGCAATATTTGGCCGAGTATGGGAGAAATATATCGATCTCTCCACTAATCTCAGGTACCATTCCTTATCCACTATATTACCAACATTGTCACTCAATTGCTCATATACATGTTTTTCGAAGAAATTCAAGAACATATTTTTTTGGGGGACATAAAAGTTTATTTATCTAATGGAGTAACTTTAATCCCAAGTAAGTATTTCAATGAGTCTAAGTCTTTGAAACTCCTTAGGCAACAAAGCTTCCAGTTTGGTGACTTCTTGCACATTATTCCTTGTTATCTTTACATCACATATATACTGAGAATAGTTATCTTATCATTAGCCTATTTGATGAACAAAGTATGATCAATGTGGCTTTATTTATAGCCCAATTTCAATATAATATTGAGAAACTTGTCAAACGAAGCTACAATAGATTGCTTCAACCCATAAATAAACTTTTTTAACTTATATACCTTTTCTTCAATTAACTAGGATGAAAACCCTGGTGGGATCTCCACATACACCTCATTCAAATCTCCATGAAGAAAGACAATTTTAATATCTAACTAGTTGTACAAGAGAAACGAGCACGTAAGAAGTTCATTTTTTCCATAGGGGTAAAGGTCTTTCGATAATCAATGTCATTTCACTCAGTGAATCCCTTAGCAGCCAATCTATAACTTTGTACCTCTTGACTGTCTCATCAGCTTGTTGCTTTAAAGTGAACATCCATTTATATCCTGCTATCTTTGCTCCAGTAGAAAGAGAAATCAACTTGCCTTTATAATTCTTTCTAGCTTTCGTTTTCTCTACCATAGCTTCTTTTCATTTATGATCGGTGATAGTTTCTTTTCAGGTTTGAGGAATAGATACTAGGGATATGGAGGAACTAAAAACACAATAAGATGTCGATAAGAAATCATAGGAGACAAAGTTAGAGATGGGGGTGTTGAGTACACGCTCTAACACCTTTTCTGACTCTAATAGGAAGCTAAGATAAATCAACAATTGTATCATCAATGACATGAGTAGTAACCAAAAATTCATTACCTAATAAATTAGTATAAGATGGTTGAATTGGTGTTGGGGAATACAATTGACTCAATGGCACATTGGTAATATGTATTTTTTAGCACCGAGAATAAATCTTCAGATTATTCTTGTCAAAGTTAGCACCAGGTGGACTAATGAACTTTTTTCCTTAATAGGCAGTTGTTTCCCCTGATTAATATCCCACTGAATTGGCAATTGAAGAAAAGACTCTTGACATACCATCTCTTCTTTAATAGTGATAGTCTCTCCCTGAAAAGATGGCTAGGAAGTAGGAAAAAAAGGACTCATTCGCAAAGGGTGATATCCATTTTGACGAACGCCTTTTGAGATGGTAGATCGTGACATTTATACCCTATTTGTTTCTATATTATTACTTGGATAAGATGAAGATTTATGCTTGGCAAATTCACAAACAATACAAACAAAAATATGTCTAGTACATTAATGTACTAGACTCGAATTCTTTTTCTTCTAAGACATCAAATGAAGTATGTCCCAAATGGGTATGCCGCTGATGTAAGAGCTAAAGGTTTAAAACACTATCTGAAGGGCTTGGAGTGAATAATGAGAAAATCCTTCAGCATCCAAAAATATAGACACTATATGGTCTACCACTGCCAATCATTTTTTTTTTGATTCATGTTCCTAAAAGGTACAATGAAAAGGGAAAAATGTGAATAAACAATTCAAGGGGTTCGTAATACTGCTAATAGAGAATAAAATATTAGAAAATTTTAGGACATGAAAAATAGGTGAGGGAGCAATTAATTTGATCTTTCCCAAAAATAGAGGATGCAGATCCATCTACCACTCTTATTTTATCCTTACTAGAGCATGTAGTGCATGAAGGGTCATGTGGTAATTGGTTTTAAAATCTATTATCCAAGGGTAAATGAGGTGGGAGACATTAAACTAATCACATTGGTTTGTATAACTGTAAGAGTAAAGTTGGAAGAAGAACCATGATTAGAAGTTGCGGTAAAGGAAATATCAAGCCGAGTTGTCAGACGCCTAAAAGTCTACATCGTATCCTGAGAAAAAATAGTAGAGGTGCTAACACTAGACTGAGATGGAATCTCTAAAGACTCAATCATGCGTGAACGTGATCACACAGTACCACCTCAGCCACCACCATACTCGTGTGGAGCTTGTTGTTAGCTTTCAACAAACCACTCTTGTCAATTGCCTTAGGTTGGGCTAATTTGAGGTTATGCTAAGGAATAACAACTAAAATAGAATCTTCCAGGATGAGAACATGAATCAAAGCAATCCTCCTACTCTCTTCCAGTTGAACTTTGGCATAAGAATGTCATAAGGTGGGAACAAACTACGGAAAAAAAATCTAAACTCTAATATGATCATACACGACGGTCAGAGCAACAAAAAAATCATAGACATGTTCATTCTTCGTCATTTATTAAAATTTTGTTGCATCATTAGCACAGTTTGCTAGAAAAAATTTGGCAGTAGTCAAGCTCTTGCCCTAAGGTAGTAAACTCTACATAATAGTTTGCAAGGGGTTTATCCTTCGATTAGTCTCACGAATTTTCTTTCAAAGGTCATAACTTTGTTTTTCCAGTGATGCCCCTTTGAGAATATGTGTGAGCCACAACAATTCAAATCTTATGAGCTATATCAAGTAATAGACAACCACAACT